CTTCTACGTGAATTCTACAAAAGAACCAAAAGAATATATATATATATATAAAAAAATTGCGGTTTTTATCCAACGCAATCATAGGTTTGAACGTTGTTTTCAATTTAGACTTGTATATGCAATCATAGGTTTGATCGTTGTTTTCAATTTAGACTTGTATATTGTATGGTATTAACTATAAACAAAAGCACTAACACAGGCTTACCTTAGCTGTATTTGACAAAAACTTTCGGAATGTTTGTGCTCTTTAACATGTTTCACTTCGTACTTTATTTGGCCGTTTTAACTTTTTAAATTCGAGCATGACTGATGAGTCTTTTGAAGACAGAACGCGCTATGGCGTACACAATATGGATCATGGTATCCATGATGAGTCTTTCTAAAACCACTGTGTTGATCCAACTGCTGGTGGAAGTTTCATCCGCGATAGTATCGCTAGCCCAGCAGTCAGCACTTCTGTGTTGACATAAATTAGCATTGAGTCGGTCATAATTATAGATTAACTTATTACAAACTATGAACTTTTTAAAATAACATTGATTTTCTAACCCAGGAATAGAATACCTCAGCTGTACTTGACAAAATCTTTCGGAAAATAATGTCATCAGTGCTCTTGAACTTTGTACTTTAAGTTTATTTTTTTATCTTATTAGCGTCATTTATGCGCTTCTGGCGTTCACAACTTTGATTCTGGTATCTATGACTGACATGAACTTCAATATGAAAAGGGACTTTGAGCGGAAAATAGTTATAATACAACTGTTGATACAAAGTATACCAGTCTTAGTTAGATTGAATGAATATCAAAAATGATTTATACTTTATTTTGTTTTTGTTTTTCTGTAAATATTGGTGTACACAGAATAAAACGAAAATAAACGTCATACATGTACATTTTGTAAGGAAAATACCCAGTTCATTAATACATTATCTACTATATGTAGAACAAAGTAACAAAAAATAGGCTTGTAAGAAACGTTGCCGTAATTCAATGTCTGAGGCGATAGCCGGGGACCATGACCTGACTTCGGGTGCAAACAAACTATACGACAGTTGTTTGTTACCAGCCAGTTTCTGTTGTTTTGTTTTGTATTTCGCGTTTTCCGGTTAAAAAGTAAAATAGAGAATGGAAATGGGGAATATGTCAAAGAGACAACCCGACCAAAGAGAAAATCCCGCACCCGGAAGCGGACTTCAGCTTTCCCCTAAACAAAAATGTGTACTAGTTCAGTGATAATGGACGTCATACTAAGCCCCTAAACATAAAAATGAACTAACATTAAAAAAACATACAAGACTAACAAAGGTCAGAGGCTCCTGACTTGGGACAGACGCAAACATGCGGCGGGGTTAAACATGTAAAGTAAGATCTCAATTATCTCCCTATACCTCTAGTCAAAGTAGATTAAACAAACACACAGCAATACACACAGTAAAACTCAATTTAAAAGAAGTCAAAGTCCGATGTTAGAACAGGTAACAAAAGAAACTACGCAAAATGACAATGATACATAGATTAACAAATGACCACTAGCAGTTACTGACATGCCAGCTCCAGAACTCAATTAAACTAACTGAAAGTTTATGTCTTCATCATATGAAAATCAAGCACAATCCCTCCCGTTATGGGTTTAGTATCATATCATCATAAAAACTATGAGAAGAACATAACCCGTATCATGCCAACAACTGGTTTTGAAATAAATGTGTTCATTTCCGATGCAGAGACCCTATGAGTGAATCAATATTAATACCAAAATATGTCATCTTCAATGACCTGTAAACAGTATCGTAACTATATACCTTCTAAATAAGTCTGTTTAAAGTTACGGCTAGCTTTTGAGGTGAATACCGACATTTCTGTGCTTTGTAAAGAATATTACCATAAAAGATTGGATGTTAAATACCTGAACGTATACGATGTCTGCATATTGATTTATTTTTACTTATGATGTCCTTGTACCGATGATAACATTTAGTAAATCTTTTGACTAATTTGTGATATCGAACACCCTGGTGTAATAATGTTTCAGTAATGCAGAGATTTCTTTCGTTAAAATCAAATACGTTGTTACATACACGAGCGAATCGCACAAGTTGAGATATATAAACACCACAAGATGGTGACAAGGAAACGTCATCATCTAAAACTGGATAAATAACAATAGGAAAAGAAAAATCATCTCTTTTATCATAAATTTTGGTATTAAGCTTCCCGTTAAAGATATTAATATCAAGATCAAGGAAAGGGCAGTGTTCATTGTTAGCATAAATTTTATTTAAAGTCAGTTCAGCAGGATAAATCTTGTTTAGTGTACATACTGAAGTCGTCATTATTGAGAGCCAATATATCATCCAAATATCTACAAGTGTTATTTAACGTTTTGTATCAGATGTTGTTTCGATTGGTCTTTGCTGGTGTTAGTCATAAATTGTAACTCATAACAATACAGAAACAGGTCCGCAATAAGTGGTGCACAGATAGTTCCCATTCGAATTCCGATAACTTGACGATATACAGAATCTCCATAGCGAAGAAAAATGTTATCTAGTAAAAATTCAAGGGCAATTATAATATCAAAGCATCTCCAATTGACATGATTCTTTTGTTTGTTGTTACTAAAAATGACCTAAAAGAGTATGAACATATATATTCGGATTCCGACTTTTTAAATGCCCGTTTAATCAGGTGTGTGAATTTTTTCATAATAAAATTATGAGGCAAAATGGTATATAGGGTAGAAAAATCAAAACTTTGAACAGATTCAAAATCACCAATATAAGCATGCAATTTATCAAGTACTTCCAACGAAGTTTGGACACTCCAAAAGTAATTAATTCGACTATTTTCAAAGGCCTTATTTGAACAATTTATTACAGGTTTTTGATTGTACCAAGTGTACTAGTAAGTAGAATAGATAGTTTAGTAGTGGAACAATGGCTTGAAGACGAAATAAATTTATATTTGTAAGGAGTTTTATGCAGCTTCGGAAGCCAGTACATAGTTGGAACTTTCATTGTATTTGGTTCTGCTTGTACAGAGGTAGCTAAAAGTTTATGTTTGTTACAGATGTCATTTTCCGAAAATGGAGTCAGTTGGAATGTTGGTGAATTTACGATTTCCCTTTTCAGAACCTCAATGTAAAATTTACGTCAAACAATAATGATATTGTTAGCAGCCTTATCAGCCGGGACAAAAACAAATTCCTTGGCGAGTTCTTCTAGCTTATGTTTGATACGAGAAGTAGGGCTATTATGGTTGTTGTTAGGAGTAAAATGTTCTTGAAAATGTTGAATACGTATATCAACATTACCGAATTAAAAAAATAATTTAATGATTTCTTGTCAGCTTTTTATCGTTTTGTCCATGTATTTTAATTGTTTTTTTTAGGTTCTCCGAATACGAAGTGCTATTTGTAAGTAAATGATGGAGTAACTTGCCCTTTTAACATACACAACATTTTATTCAATATCTAATTGGCACAAGGCAAATAGAATAGAAAACGGAATAGGGAATGTGTCAACAAAACAAAACCCGACAAAAAAAAACACCATTGTATCTTCAACGCAGCAAAATAATCCCGCACCCTGAGGTAAAGTTCATATTAATGGTTGATAGACGTATCCTAATTTTATTTCAGCTGGATAGTTTTAACACAATTATCAACTCATTTAGACATAAGTATGATCCTTTACTTTTATAAATTTTGACTTGCATGGAGAGTTGTCTCATTGGCACTCATACCACATCTTCTTATATCTATATAATAGGTAAAAATGTAAAAAAATAGGGTTGCAGCAGTCAACATTGTGTTATAATTGTAATCACTATAAAAACAAAAAAAAAGGACAAGAAAGAAACACTTAAAGGCATATAGATAAAGCACATTAGCAAAAATGAAAGACAGGAGTTCACAAATTTACCGTATCACAATAACACAACGACAGGATGTATAAGTACCAAGCCACGTCAAATGGATATTACCAAAATTAGACGAAACATTATAAGTATTATTCGCAAACACATAAAAGAATACTATATAAGCAACGTCAGTACATAGAATCTATACTTCAAGACCATCGTGTATTATTTGTGAAGTTGAAACGGAATATTTATCAACAAGGTCTTGGTATTGTCCAATGAACTTTTTAAAAAAGGACGAGAGGTTCTTTGACATATTCCTGGTTCATAAACTTTCTGCTCAAACAATGGTGACGTTTTACAAAGTCTGAGTAGCAGCTGCAAGCTCTTGAATACAGAATAAGTTGGGAAATGTATATCCCATATGCAGGTGGAATTGGTATATTGCTAACAAGGTTGGGGAAATTGATAATTTAAAAATAAAAATCGTCTCGTTTGTCATAGATTCTGGTAATGAGATGACCGCTTAAGTCAAATTCGAGGTGAAAGTCTAAAACTGAGGCAAATGAAGCCGTGTCTGTTGTTTCGTTAATTTCTAGTTCTAGAGAATAAACTAATGGAACCCAATCTGAAAAGTTTGGATTGTTAATAAAAAGAACATCATCAATATATCTGAATATGAAAATAAACTATCTTGTTTTATTTGATCATCTAGTTTTTGACAAGTGTCTGTAGAACTCAGACTGATATGGAAATAAGAAGAGGTCGGCAAGGAGAGGCGCACAGTTCGTTCCAATAGGAATGGCGACAATTTGTTGAAAAAGTCTATCTCCAAATTCTACAAATATGTTGTCAATAAGAAACTCCAGGATACTGATAACATTCCTCTGTGTAGCATGTTTTACCTTTTTGTTCACTATGACTAAATTATGCCATACGGTATCCCAAAGTAATAACTTTATAGCGTATGCTACCATTTTCATGTTGAAAAGCATTGTTGATAATGTCTTTCAGGTGTTTCTACACATGGGGAACGGTGGTATATAGGGTTGAATAATCTGAAGTTTTGATAGAACTTATTTCAGAGAAAGATTTAAAATTATCCAGAAGTTTTTTAGAGTTTATTTTTTAATCCACATATGTTTAATACCACTACGTGAGTAAGCAGTTTTTACAGTTTTCTAAAGACCCCCTTCCACTGCGAACAGAATTTTTGTCAGTCTAATGCACGATTCTTTCGTCGAACATGCAAGTAAACCATTGGTAAGCAAAAATTGTACATTATTCATGGTGCTTTGCTTTTATTGTTATATATAACAAAAACTATTTAATTTACTACTTATACGTTTGTGTAAGTATACGAGGTTTTGATAGGATAAATACTTCCTTAACTGCTATTATATTTCTATTACAAATGTTGGATTACTATATCATATTTTTTTCTCAAATCGATAAAAGTATTCCTGGTATTCTGCATAAATGAAGCACATAGTGACATACTACTACTTTTTATGTGTCATTTAGACTTCTGATTTTATTTAAACAAGAGGTGATTGGGTTCGCTTTCATTTGTGAACACTTTGCATAACTTATTGTTTCTTTGTATGTTAATAAGATAATCCAGTGTTTAAAATGTACACACAAACAGATATAAACAGATAAAATAATCTCTGAGTATCCTAGTGTACTACTGTTGTTTTTGGTCGGAAAGAAATATGATATTACATTTGTACATTTGTATTCCACTGTATAGGTACCGGTGTCTACCATTGGTTTTTATGACAACTTCTGTTTTCTCTCTTTTTGATTAAATCAAATACTTGTTTTTGATTCTTGTTCCCGAAATGGTTGTTTTAGTTAAATTATAAGAAATGTAATATTATTCCAAGAGGATAGTTAAAAAATCATAATTTGAAGAACGACTTTAACAACATGATCACAAAAAACTGAAGTTTGAGAAAAGTAAACTTGATTGATTTGGAGACCAATGGCCAAACTACATGCATTTGTAGAATCTTTTATATCTATTGTAAATATATATAGGGCTACAGGTAAATGAGAAAAATTATCAAAGGCACTGCTGGTTTTACATTGTTAAGTTTTCTGGTTTTCATTGATTGGAATATTCTTCCAATATCAGATAATTGCTTAGTTGATTTTTTCTTTTTAAGATCATGGAGGTACAACTGCGGAATCAGAAACGTCTTCAAAAATCTGTATGTGCCTTAATATTACACATACTTTACATAAAAAAGTTTTATAAAGAATATATAGTTATTTTTACAACAACCCGACAGGTGGATACCCTAGCGGTTTTTTAAGACCTTCTACAACAGCTCTCCAAAACAAATCCTCTCCTACACCACTTGAATATTTTATATGGTTACCACTGGCCAGTAGAGCTTGGAGATGACTTGTCATATGCTTGGAGTCAATATTCTTCAACATGACGAGAAGAAATACATCTCTTCCCAGTCGTCTACGTTTTTCCTGTACAAGATCAACTTCCCACTGACACCATTCACTTTTGGCAAAATCATTTGACATTATCACGACAACTTTTCTAGATTTTTCCACAAACTTATCAATGTTGTCAATGATTGGCTGTCCGATTTCAAAGTCACGATGATGAATACACAATTTTAATCCCTCTTCCTTTTCAACTCTCTGCACGAATTTTGTATGAACCCAATCTCTGTCTGCTTCACAGTACACAACAAATGCATTATATTCAAAATCGTCATCGTTGTCAAAACTAAGATATCCTCGTCTTTTGTTGTAGGACACTCGTAAAAGATAGACATAGTTCTTAATATGCGATTGACATCGCACAATTAGTACAATAATTAACACAATTATCGTTCCACTTGCTGCAAGCCCAATTATAATTGTATTTATTGGTTTCAATGGATTACAGCTTTCCTCTGTTGGGTGATAATTTGACAAAAGTTTTCCATCCATCTTAGGTGGATGTTTGCATTTATAAAGTTTGAAATTTACAACCTTGTTCATAAAATGTTTCGTCCAATTAAGGAACCAACGCTGTTCACATGTACAAGAGAAAGGGTTAAAGCCTAAATCCAGTTTCTTTAACGAAAATAAAACTTCCGGTGGAAAAGAAGTCTGGTTTATAACTGAAATCGAATTTACGCTCAAATCTAGCATAGTTAATGAAGTTACATTAATGAATATATTGTTCCAGCGAAAAATTCTGTTCCCCATAAGATTTATTGACCAAATATTTTTGAATGGTGTAAATAACATGTCTGGAATATCGGTTATTGCGCTTTGTACAAGTATAAGTTTCCGAAGATTCGATAACGGTTGTAGCATTTCTTTGAACATTGACAGGTTTCTTGGCATGAAATTTTGACTCAGATCCAGATTCTCTAAATGTAGACAGTATGAAAATACTTTGGTAGATGTTCTGTCGAAATGAATAAAGTTCAAATTCATATGAAGAGTAACAAGTGACGAACTATTGAAAGCAAACTGACCAATCTTCTTTAAAGGATTTCCTATTCTTGGTAACAACAGAGTTTTGAGAACAGGCATAGGCGAAAAGACATTATCTTGTAAACGACCTGTATGAATGCCTTCTAAATTTAGAAACTGAATGTTCGGTAAACATCTAAAAGCATTTTTTCCGAATGCGCCAATGTTGTTGTTTCCAAGTGTGAGGTTTTGTAAGTTTGGAACAAAACTTAAATCTGCTTTAGAACACCATTTTGGAACTTTCGTTAACATGTTACTCCTTAAATCTAATCTAGATACATTTTGCAACCCCTTCATATAAATATCTGTGATGGAATTATTGGATAACATTAAGTGTTTCAAAGAAATTATTTGCTCAAACATTGAACAGTTAAATATTTCAAAATTGTTTCCTGTTAAAATAAGCTTCCACAATTTGCTTTTTTTGAATGTATTAAAGGAATCTACCGGAATTTCTGTCCATTGATTGTCAAGAAGATGAAGCATTTTCAAATTCCTTTTATTCAGGGAGACGAATGCTTTTGTCAACACTGTTATATTCAATTGTGGTTGATTGGCAATATGCAATGTTTTGAGAGCTGAAATATTCAAAAAAGCTTTTGGATGAATGTAATTAATAAAATTTTCCTGTAAAACCAGTTTACCAATAAACTTACTAAAAGAGAGATTATAAAATGTATGTTCTCCAATATAAGATAAATTTGTATGGGTCAAGTTCACAACTGCAATACCTGGTGGAAATCTTGGAACATAGTTTAAAGAGACTCCACTACATATGGCTCTCTGCCTTTTACATACACAGTGTGTGTTGCATGTGATGTCACTAGCAATTACAACAGTGAAGTGTGTATAAATTACGATACACATTACAAGAGAAACACGTATCGTATAACCAAACATCTTTTTCATATTGATTTCTACAAAAGACAAAAATTAAATCTAAAACAGTTTTTATCAATCGTATTTTATAACTTACATACGTATACATTATAACCTATAGTTTTTTTTAAAATTATAATGTCAGTTGTGTATTTTTCTCTGTTATCATTAGAAAAGCAATGCTTACAACACGTGGTTTTCCTTTAACATGTTGAATGTATGGTCGTAATATACCGTGTCTGCTCTGAGTGAGACACGGGTTGCATAGTACTGTATATGATCTGGGTGATGCAATGGTTGAATGGTACTGTGTCTGCTCTGGGTGAGGGCAAAGGTTGCATGGTGCTGTGTATGCTCTGGCTGAGGGTAATGGTCGCATGGTACTCTGTCTGCTCTAGGTGAGGCAAAGGTTACATGGTAGTGTATGCTCTGGCTGAGGGTAATGGTCGCGAGGCACTGTTTATGCTCTAGGTGAGGGTAATGGTCGCACGGTACTGTGTATGCTCTGGTTGAGGGTAATGGTCGCATGGTAGTGTTTATGCTCTGAGTGAGGGTAATGGTTGCATGATACTGTGTCTGCTCTGAATGAGGGAAGTAGTCGCAAGGTACTGTGTATGCTCTTGGTAAGGCAATGGTACATGTAGCATGACACTGTGTATGCTTTTGAGTTATGGTCATATGGTGGTATATATGTGTCACAGTCAGAAACGTTTCCGTCCCCTCAAACGTGTCCAATTGCCCTAAACGTGTCCATATGACGTCGATAAATTCAAAAGATGTCTAGTTGCAAAAGGGCGCCGAAACGTGTCATTTTTATCAACGCACAAACGTGTCATTTCCCCGAAACGTGTCCATACAAAGCAAAACGATTCCTTTAATGAACGCTCAATCTTGTCCATATTTTCAAATGCGCAAAAATTAATTTAATTTTTGACCTACATGTAACAATTACATGTCCACCAATATTAAAACTTATAATTTTGTTTAATAACTTTTGGTTATTGTTCTTCTTTTGGAAAGTATTCCTTTTAATTGACTTTTCCATCTATTGTTCTACCTCCAAACGTGAATGGAGAATAGAAAAAGGATTAATCATGTCATGATCCAACCGACAGTTACTAGTAGATTCTTGCCAAAGTTGGGCGTCCATTTGGCTCTGATGGATGGAAAAGTACGCAGCCACGTCCTGTCATAATGGGGATGTTAAATCCGAAACCTCATGTAGGAAGAGATACTTAGATCTACCTTATTAGATAAAAGAAAATTGGTATGAGTGCCAATGAGACAACTCTCCATCCAAGTCACAATTTGTACAAGAAAAACCATTATAGGTCAAAGTACGGTCTTCAACACGAAGCCTTGGCTCACACCGAACAGCAAGTTATAAAGGGCCCCCAATAATGACTAGTGTAAAACCATTCAAACGGGAAAACCAACGGTCTATTCTATATAAAAAACGAGAAACAAGAAATGTATTTATTGTTATTATTTTGTCGTCCTGAATATGCCTGAAATATTTGTAACTGGACTTTAAGCAATCAACAGTAAAGAGTTAATCTATATGTTGCAAGTCAAACTTTCAATTATGCTAATTTAAATATAAACAGCCGGCGTTGAACAAACTAATGCTAACAAATTTTGGGTTATCTTCTTTAAACTCTGTTCCTTTATTAATTTCCAGTAATTGTGCCAAAATACCTCAGCATTTATGTCTTTTGAATGCGGCTTTAATCTTTTAATAGGATCTACTCGAAACCCGACATCTTAAATGTTGTCTCCGAGAATTGAATTGCCGTAGACGTTATTGACTGCATTGGGGACATATTAGCGCTAAAAGTTTGGAGACTTTCAGACGTCTTAAAGTGGACACGTTTTGGCGAAAAAACAATTATCGGACACGTTTGGGGAAGTGAAATTGGACACGTATGGGCGATTTGGGAATTGAAGGACACGTTTGGGCGAAATAGACACGTTAGGGGGAAAAGGGCACTTTTAGGGAGATGGACACGTTTAGGAGTGTTACATATATGCTCTGCTTGTAAGGTCGCATGGCACTACTGGGTTCCGGAGTATGTGTGTTCTGGGTGATGGTAATGGTCACATGGTACTGTGTATGCTCTATGTGATGATGATAATGGTGGGTTAAATCCCGGATTAGATCAAACACAAAATCTTTAATGAACTAGCTAGGTTTCAGTTTATTTGTTTGTTATCATTTGTTAAATCACTGTGGGGATGGTTTTGCGGTAGCATACATGTTTAACCACGCCACATTATGTGTGCTTGTGCCTATCCCAAATAAGGAGCCTGTAATTCATTGGTTGTCGTTTGTTTCTGTTTATCATTATGATCGTATTCCAATTCTTTTATTGTTTTGTACAAAAATTAGGCCTTAAATATTCGCGTTTGAATTATTTTCATTTGTCATTTTAGGGGACTTTACTATGTGGTATGGCATTTGCTCATTGTGAACTTCTTCTATATCATTTGGTCTCTTGTTGTCTCATTGGCAATCATGCCACATCTTATTATCTTTATATTAATAGTAAGTATTTTGTTTTATGAACAACAAAGACGATTGCCACAGAGAAAGAATAATATATACGTAATATGGTCACGTATACTGTTGTTTGTCTTTTTAGATTTACTCCGATCATCCACAAAACTCAGCTGACTTTGTCGAATTTGCTAGACACAGGTTTCAAATTGATACGAAATTTACAGGATCGATTTACACATCCGTTGTACATTTCAGCCATACCTTTAAATATGGATTGGCTGTGTTACATACAAAAAGTTATGATATGCAGAAAATGATATTTCAGCTTTATGCATGATAAAAATACAATATTTATTGTAAACACATTAAGCAATAAACATGATAAAGTAAACAGCTTACCTCCTACAATTATTGTTAAAATAGATTAACTTTAAAATTAAATCACTATAAATGTATCAAGTAGAGTTTCATAATGCGGAAGATTGTTAAACTCGGAAACACATAGATGTTTCGGTTGCTATTTCCATGAATTATTAACGTTGCATGAATATTTAATTAAGTTTTAAGAAACATTGTATATTTTTTCTTTCGGGAAAAAGTATTGACTTTAAATATTTTCCTCATTTTTAGCTCACCTGGCCTAAAAGGGCAAAGTGAGCTTTTCTCATCACTAGGCGTCCGTCGTCCGTCCTCGTCGTCATCCGTTAACTTTTACAAAAATCTTCTCCTCTACAACTACTTGGCCAAATGACACCAATCTTGGCTTAAATCATCCTTAGGGTATTTAGTTTGAAAAATATATCCGATGACCCCGCCCATAAACGAAGATAGCCGCAAATGGCTAAAATAGAACATGGAGGTAAAATGCAGTTCTTGGCTTATAGCTCTAAAACTAAAGCATTTAGAGCAAATCTTACAGGGATAAAATTGTTAATCAGGTCAAGATCTATCTGCCCTAAAATTTTTAGACGCATCAGACAACCCGTTGTTGGGTTTCTGCCCCATAATTGGTAATTTTAGTTTAATTTTGTAGTTTTTGGTTATTATCTTGATTATTATAATAGATACAGATAAACTGTAAACAGCAAAACCTTCTTCTCTGAAACTACTGGGCAAAATTGAACCAAACTTGGCCTAAATCATCCTTAGGGTATCTAGTTTAAAAAAATGTATCTGATGACCCCGCCCATCAATTAAGATGGCCGCCATGGCAAAAATGCAGTGTTTGGCTTATATCTCTGAAACTAAAGCATTTACAGCAAATCTGACATTGGGAGAAAAATGTTCATCAGGTCAAGATCTATCTGCCCTGAAATTTTTAGACGCACCAGACAACCTGTTGATAGGTTGCTGCCCATGGTAATTGTAAGGAAGTTTTGCAGTTTTTGGTTATTATCTTGAAAATAATAATAGATACAGATAAACTGTAAACAGCAAAATTATTAAGCAAAGAAAGATCTACAAATAAGTCAACATGACCAAAATGGTCAATTGACCCCTTTATGAGTTATTGCCCTTCATATTCAATTTTTGACAATTTTTTGTAAATTTTTGTAATCTTTTACAAAAATCTTCTCCTCTGAAACTACTGAGACTAATTTAACCAAACTTGGCCACAATCATCATTAAGGTATTTAGTTAAAAAATGTGTCAGATAACCCCACCTTCCAACCAACATGGCTAAAAATAGAACATAGCGGTAAAAAGCAAGTTTTTTCTATTATTTTTTGAACCGTTATAAAAAGAGAAAATCTGAATGAAAAATATGTTTAGAATAATGAGCTCTACCAATTGTCCATATATACATCAAAACTGTAAGACAAATTCCTATATGAGTTATTGCCCATAAATGACAAATTTTACAAATTTGTTTTTTCATTTTTGACTATTATCATGAAAACTATGATATTTAGAGAGAAACATTTTTTTCTGTTAAGTCTCATATGATTTAAATTATGATAGATAAATAAACATTCTAAATCACAAAAATGATCAGCAAGGCAAGATCTATTTATAAGTCAAAGAAACTAAACAGACTAAAAGATCAGTAATACAAGATCAACAAAATAGAAATTTGTGTCTTGAAGTCTATTCTCGTCTACAATATTGGAGAGTGTGCTTTGTTTGATATGCCCATAGACCAAGGTGAGCGACACAGGCTCTTGAGAGTCTCTAGTTTATAATGCAATAGAAATATAATATCTCATTTTCTTCGAAATCAAATAAGGTCAGTTTAGTTTTGTTGTATATGGAGAGTTATTGACAATGCTTTTTTCCATATTGTTAATATATTACTTACTGTATCATAATTTATTATTACCATGAGTAGTAAAATTGCTAGTGAATAATTTAATAAAAAATATTCTTATTGAACGAATATATAACAATGGATACCATTTTATCGAATTAAGTTTCAATTACTCCTCCGTTGAGGTACTTTGTAAAGCTGCAGATTCATATGACATACTTATCTTCATGTGTAATCCAGTATTTGTATCTGCATATGTTTTATTCATAGATATAAGAATATGTGGTTTATATCTCTAAGAAACAGTACCAAAACGCGAAAAATGTAATAAATAATACGATTTCATGTAAGGCACAACTCAACAATATTTTTTTGGGAAGAGGGCGGCGGGGTATAGTTCGCGGTATTTTCGACTGTGTTATTTGCTCAATAACTTTCACGAGGAAGGCATTTTTTATAAACTCAATGTTGTTTTACTTCCTAATTTTCTTAAGAAAATAAATATTTTCTATTCCTTTATCACACATTTTTTTTGACGAAATTCAGAGTTGAACAAGTTACATGTATTTAAAACAAATAGGTACTTTACAAATGATGTATGGTCGGTGCCGTACATGATTTGTACATTTTGGAACATACATTTTGTTTATGAAATCTAAAAATAATGTTTATTAACAAAAATAAGACGGCGGGACGCTTTCTGAACTTTAGGCCTGCACCCAACCTATGAAAAAATCAATAAGAATAATTTTCTCTTTGGGGAGGTAATAAAACACGATAAATGTACTAGACTATGCTTTATAATATTTCGTCAAAATCCCTAGTCTTTGCCTTATTAACTGACCCATGTTAAAGCTTTGTATATCTATAGAATTTGCCTATGGGCGCTCCGAAATATATATGTGTTCATTCCAAAATTAGTTTGCATTTGGTCCATTGCCAGTGGTCAAATTTCATTGAAAATTACAGGGGGGAAATTAAAAAGAAATTAGTTCCTATATGCTATGTTACCTATTTTGACATCGGACTCGTTCTTCTTTTAAACTGAGTTTTACTGTGCGTATTACTGTGTGTTTGTTTATTCTACATTGGCTACAGGTATAGGGGAGGGTTGATTTTTCAGAAAACATTTTTAACCCCGTTGAATTTTTTTGCGTCTGTCCCAAGTCAGGAGCCTCTGGTCTTTGTTAAAAAATTGAAAACAAAACGTTTAATAATTTCATGCGTCCGAAGCGCTTTTCTGGATTTACCTTCATCAGGAACGCTCAAAGCCAAACATTTGAAATCCGAGGGATGTATAAGTATCGAAACAGTTGAAGAGCTATATGACAAAAATACCTAAAACAAATCGCCAAATTCATCTAAGGTCAACTTTGCCTGAGGGAGTTGAAACCTTAGTTTCTTTATAATTTCAAAATTTAACAATTTTAGAAAGGTTTGTTATAAATCATGTCAGTACCGAAGTACTGACTACTGAGCTGATGATACCCTCGGGGACTGATAGTCCACCAGCAGAGGTATCGACCTAGTGCTGTAAAAAATTGAAAACAACACGTTTAATCTTGTATGTTTATTAAAATTTTAGTTCATTTTTATGTTTCGGAGTTTAGTGTGATGTTCATTTTAACTGAACTAATACACTTTTTTAGGGGCCAGCTGAAGCCCGCCTCCGGGTGCGGGATTTTTTAGCTGTGTTGAAGACCCATTGGTGGCTTTGGGATGTTTTCTGCATTTTGGTCAGGTTGTTGTCTCTTTGACATATTTCCATTCCCATTTCCATTCTCAATTTTATTTGTCACGAAAATAAACGAAACACGCATTTGTTCTACATAATTATATAAGACTGGTATCTTGCACACGTTTTTTTCTACCATTACCTTTTAATAAAGAATTTGAATATAACAGATAAGACTTGAAGCGGTACTGTTCCATATGTATAAGTTGAATACATTTTAAAATATCAGATTTTATTTCACGACAACAACGATAACATTTGAAAATAAATAAATCCTTCTGTACCGTCTTCGAAATTTGTTTCAATATAAAAAACATACATAATTAGTTAAAAAAAAATACAAACGTCATAGAGCACAAATAACACAATTCTGAGCAACCGATTTTGTCCATATCAAGTCAAACGTGAAAAGTATTTACAAGGAAATCAGACAAAATTGTATTTCGTTAACTTTCTTCTAGTGAAGTTTTTTCCTTCTCGTTGTCTCTGCCAGATCGATATACTGAGATTATAAACAAATTGTATCTCTTTGTTTGTAGTTGCCTGATAGAAAATATCAAATTTTCTTCCATTCTGTTCTCTCAATCTAAATGTCGTCTTTTCTTTCCAATTTATGTTGACAATACGATCATCGACACGTTATCATCTTTTAAAGTTTTACTTCAACTTATCTTTTCAAATCCAACTTCGACTGAGAAATCATCTTTGTATATCTTCTGAACCTTCTTTTTGTGTGGATTATCGAGTTCATCTCTCGGTAATAATAATCTGTAATGAGAGAAAGAATTTTAAGTAGAGTCAACGTATTGAAAAACAAAAGGTGTTATTTCTTAATCTGATTATAAGACTTTATCATAGGAAAGGAGAAGAGTTGAATCAAGGAATATCGATCTTATCATGTATAGACGAGCTCTATAAACAACACCTTTCAAAAATTAAGAAATGATCTTTTGTTAGAAAGACGATTACTTCAAGTACAGTCAAACTTTCACACCAGAATTTTGTATCTAGGAAATATTTATGTACAGGTTTAAGGAAATGTTTTATTTTAAAAAAATCTCTGACCCTATGATCTATCTGTTATACATAAATTACGTTCATAGCGACAACAGGCGGAAGATTTAAAAAAAAACTTAATTGTAGTTCCTTAATATAACATCAGAAACAGGGATACATCTGGGAAGAGGATGCAAGATGTCCACTTTCTACATGGACAATACATATCCAAGTTTAGTTTGTCTATCTTATTATAAATAATGATGACAGACATCCTGTCGTCTCCTTTTTTGTACAAAACCAGTGATCCTCAAAGTTTTATATACAGTCATACAATAAGTCATGACATTAAAAAACCAGAGTGTTGTATGATCAATTTCCGTATATCCAACCTTAACGTTACATACTTATCTACTTGCCCTTGAAACTGAGAAAGACAATTAGTACATTTAGCTTCAAGATTGAATTATTTTTAACATAGATTTAAAAATGTTAAACAAGCTTGATTTACTTTAGGGATACTTTACCCAAACTATATGATTTCGGCACTATTATCAACCTCATATCATCAAATCACAACATATACTATAGAAGTGACATTTTCAAATACAACAATTGTCCGAATAAAAAATGCACTTTCAGTCTTTATAAAGTACTCAAATCAAAATGTCCAGTGCGTAAAATAACTTAAAATATTCAAATATCTTCAAACAGGAAAAGACTGCTCGGCAAATTTGAAAATCGCTTAAAATTAACAACTTGTCCTAACAATAGACTACACTGAAGATCAAATAGTCCCTGAATACAGAAGAAAAATACCATGCTCCATCGGTATATAAAAATCAAAATATAGTAAAAAAAAAAAGGAAGTGACTTCCCAACAGATAATAAAATCGCCTATATGACACAACGTTGTAATTCTGTAGCAGACCACTTTTGATATAGATAATACAGAAGCTAAATAATATGTAATGAAACTTACAGACGATTTGATTTGATTTTGTGTGTTTTAACGCCACTTTTAAGCACCGCTTTTGGGCTATTTCGTGGCGGCCAGTTTTTATTGGTGGAGGAAGCCGGAGTGCCCGGAGAAAACCACCGACCTTCGATAGGAAAACTGACAATCCTAGTCAATTAAGATTGGAGTCGAGTGCACCCGCACGAGCGGGGTTCGAACTCACAACCTCAGTGTTGACTGGCTAGTGATTACAGTAGTAACTACTTAGACCACTCGGCCACCGAGGCCCTAACTTACAGACGAAAGGACGGACACATTTATATAGTATATCATCCTTCCGTTAGCAGGTTATACCAAATTTGAATAATGTATTGACTCTTAAAAAACTTACCTGTTATTTTCTATGAATGATGTATGGAACCAGCAGAAAAATGCACAATTATCATACACCTTTGGTACTTTTGACTGAAACAAAATAGAATATTCATGACTAGCTAAACTTGCATGTTTAAAAATTGTAGCTAAAACATGCTAGGACATAACAAAACGTATATATTTTAATTATTTTCAATTGGAAAAAAGGCCAACTGGAAATATTGGATTCTTCCAGACTACTTTCAATGCAGCATGAATATTTTACTGTTATGTGTTCAACTTCCAGCGGCAAATGTTATATAAACCAATCATTATACTGTTAACAAGGCATATTAAGAAAAATACTAGATTAAGAGGGTAAACCTAGAGTATAGGTAAAAAAATCTGACAAAGGCATTAGAAGTCATTTGTGCGTTTTAACCCAGCAGTAATTGAAACAGTTATCATGCATTCATGTTGTTCATATTTAGTTATGAGAATGATGCAGGAGCATGTAAGAAAACTGGACAAGTCTGACTCCACCAAGCACTAAATTAAACCTTTTCATTACAATCAGGCTATCAACATTTCAGATTTATTAAAGAATTGCATGCTTCCTTTTATAATTTTATTGGGGTGTCAAAGCGTTGACCAAAGCACATTTTGCATGAAGCGCTTATTATTAAAAATGTGCGCACGATCAACTTTTTTACAACCCTATACAATCAGCAGCGAGTATTTGAATGACGGGGACTGTAAATTGTCAACCTTCGCCACACTGCGGAAGTTAATACACAACATGTATAAGATGCAAGTTCAGTTTAAGCCTATAGTTGGAGAAGCAGATGTACATGTTGCTGATTAATATGCAAAGTAATTGGTGTAAACTATGTCTGAATACTTACAGATTTTGAGGTGAATCGAAGTTTGATGTCGTTGTAAAGGTCTGGGCAATTTAATATCTGAACGTCTATCAGGTTCTTCAAATTATTATGTCGAATCTAACAAAAGAAAAAAAAATGTTAGATACAGTTTGCAAACAATATGCATATCATATGCATATATTAATTCGATATATAGTATTTTAACAGTAAACATATATATTGAATATGCATATGAACACGCAGTTTAAGTTTAACAGACTTCAGGATCATACCTTCTCCATTTGAACGCTAGGACAATAGACTGGATACGTCTCTTGACTTTACAAGTGATTTTATCATCGATTGTTTTAATTGTCATGAGCAACACGACGGATGTCTTTAGTGGAGTAGAAACAATTCCCCTTCCGGAGCACCTGGATTAACCTTCGGTTTAAGCATTGTTTTTTTAGTTTTCTGTGTAGTGTTTTGGGGACTGTTTTTCTCTTCGTCTTTGTGAGGTTTTGACATGATATTGTCTGTTTTCTGTCGAATATTGTTTTTCGATTACCCCTAGCTATCATCTTCCTGTTTTTACAGTTTCGTGAAGGCTATCATTAAGAAATATCAATAATCGGTACAACAATGTCTTATTTCTTACTTTTTCACCATTGCTACTAAACAAAAAGCCTATTTATTCAAAATGCAGTACCAAATATAATGAAACTCGTCAACAGAAAAAATAAAAGGTTGCCTACATTTTCGAAGATGTTTGCTACAATTACCTGACAGTTTATTTGTTTTCCAAATTGTACCGTATGGACCTTTTCTTTGTTTTTGTATATTTCCATCGCTAAGTCTGACCCATCTCCTTTTCCAATATCTAGGGAAAAAAATGTCTTATTTTCATATGCAGATTATGGCGTCATAGTTTTTATTATGAATATAAGGAAAGGTAAATGGCAAAGAGACAACAGTTTTACAACACAATGAAGGGTGAACATACCACGTATACTTTTTATGCTTGTACCGTAGAAAGCTATAAAAGGCACCGACTAAATGTGAAACAACAAACGGCCGAATTTATGCTAAAACATTATTTCAAGACAGAAACCAACGACAACCACAGACCATCTTCGCTAGCCAAGGGTTATGATCCACTCCCCTCCTCTCCACCCATGGCGGATTAAGAGAGAATTTCAGATCCACGAGGTAATGATTTTCATTGGTTGCAGTGGTAACAGGCTGCATCCAATCAAAAGTGCCTATATCATGATCACGTGTAAATGTAAAATATGTAGGTAAACAATTGCCACGTGCTGATTGTGCGACGAGCCTTTACCCAAAAAACATACGACGATATATTAAGAGACAAATTTAATGTTCTTAATCAAGTAATAGAAGTTCCTGTGTATGTATCTTGCACACATGTTGGGACTTCAACGTAAATTTTCGTTTCCTGTTTCACCAAGTTTGTAAACTCTAGACGCTTCCATGTTTTTACCTCCACACTGAAGAGTGTTAATGTGCTACCATTGGTCAAGAAAAATGTATTCGGAATGGGCGTGACTTTAATTAACCGATAGATGGCGCAACATTGTTATCACAAATGTTGGCTTAATCTGCCAAGGATGGAGAGGAGGAGAGTGGATCGTAACCCTTAGCTAGCGAAGATGACCACAGACTTACAAACTCTACCTGGGACAGTCATATACATGAAGCATGTCTATTGCTGATGGAAGATAATTCCCTGTTTTTTCATGATAAAGTTTAGGTATCAATACAAGTAAGTCAATGCAAGTCTTTGTTAAAACGTTTTTCTTCAGATAAACTGTCAACGTTCGAACGTGCAATGAGTTCAATTATCAGTACGCCCACTAAATGTGCTGAACTTCACGCGTCGCTAAAGCTAATTGTTATAACAGCTCATTATAACCATTCAAACATTCACCCAAAACTAGAAAGTTAATTAGTACAAATATATAAAATATGAAGATAATTACATATCCATATAGCTTTTGCATATTCTGTTCAAGGTTATTTTGAGAAAAAAAGTAATAATACAACGCAGTTAGTTTTACCACGATAGAATACCTACCATTTATGCCTGTTATTTTGATACTTGTGATTTTCAGGTTAATTACTGGAGGACATTCTCCATCGTAGTCTTTCTTTACATTTTCATAATAACCAACATATCTACTCTAAATAAAATGAAAAATATTTTGTTAAATTTGAGTTTTACACAAAGTTGCCTTAAAATGTTTTTTTACCAATTTGATATCCTGCATTATTTATCATGCTGTACCATAAAATAAAATAAAATTGATGGAAGACCCCTCCAAAACTGAAATATTTTGGAGTAAATAAGATACACTCAATCGGGCTAACGCCCTTCGTGTGTGTATTTATTATACAAGTAAACAATGAATTTATAAAATATACACACAGTTGAGTCGCAGTTGAATGAAGGCTCATCAATGCCCACTGGAATCTCAACCACTTTATACAACTGCTATGATAATTACTAAAATGAAAACAAAACTATTAATATCTTGAACAGCAGCAACGATGTACTTATACGCGATTGATAAAAACACAGAAATGTTTTTGACAGAGGTTTTAGTCCACGTATTACGGATAGTCTGGGCACGAAAATCAGTTTTATAGTGATTACAAAGTAGTACATAAACAAAAGCAATTAATTGTCTTTATAAACATATATGAAAAGTTTGATTTACCTGACTTGGCGTTTCCACGCCTTGGAATGTTGTACCAACACTAAGGTCTGTTCGTCTACCTCCAAAATAATCCAGACTACTCTGAAATCATAAATCAGAATAATGAATTATTCTTTGGTTCAGGTGTTAAGACGTATAAATATATAGCTTTCTGGTTAAGAGTTCCTTTCATTGCCGTGAACCTCATCTGCTTTAAATTCTTATATATACTATTTTAAAAATATTTGATATCAAAAATGTGATAGCGTACAGAAATAAGTAATCTGGACAGCTTCCATCTGAAAGCAAGGTCTGTTTCTTCATGTGGGTATGTATGGCTGTATGGGATGTATAAATTCACAGCCACGTCAAGATAAAACGGAATATTGGATCCGATGAATCGGGTTTAGACCATTCCACACTATTTCAGCTCTTCGGAGGAATTGCAACAAGGCAAGTTTTACCATAACATGGCGCACTCCCTTTTCCATGCAGTCTGAATCTCCTTTCATCCATTGCAAACCGTTCCTAATAGATATACATTTATTGTACTGTATTAGTCAGGTCCTAAACATGCATGAGATATTTGACAATAAACGAAAGGCGAACAACAAGCGTTCAATTTATAATTTACACGTGTAGAAAAAGATATAAGCGTTTTTTATTTGAATAAGCAACTACTTATTATTGTTTTTCGGTATCATTGTACCTTTTAAATTATCGAATACTACCTACGTCCAAATTGTAAGCTACAGTGTTACCAAGCGTTTAACACAAAAGGAAACCTTTCTTTAACACATACAATCAAACAAACAAACTAAAGTGTTGTTAGATGGAATGTGATCCCATATGCTTGAAGAACTGAAATAATGTGTACCTATCATGAGTCAGTTCAGTATCCTGTATGCTTCACTGGTACATGATACAGGATACTAAACTGTATCCTGTATGCTACACTGGTACATGATACAGGATACTGAACTGTATCCTGTATGCTTCACTGGTACATGATACAGGATACTGAACTGTATCCTGTATGCTTCACTGGTACATGGTACAGGATACTGAACTGTATCCTGTATGCTTCACTGGTACATGATACAGGATACTGAACTGTATCCTGTATGCTTCACTGGTTCATGATACAGGATACTGAACTGTATCCTGTATGCTTCACTGGTACATGATACAGGATACTGAACTGTATCCTGTATGCTTCACTGGTACATGATACAGGATACTGAACTGTATCCTGTATGCTTCACTGGTACATGATACAGGATACTGAACTGTATCCTGTATGCTTCACTGGTACATGATACAGGATACTGAACTGTATCCTGTATGCTTCACTGGTACATGATACAGGATACTGAACTGTATCCTGTATGCTACACTGGTACATGATACAGGATACTGAACTGTATCCTGTATGCTTCACTGGTACATGATACAGGATACTGAACTGTATCCTGTATGCTTCACTGGTACATGGACAATCTATATGCATTATTCTGTACTTAAATCAAGTTAATAGCAAGTAAAACATCCATTAATTGCCCGCATGAAAAATTATTCATAAAGCTATAATTACTGTTTATCGGTTTTCTAACTGCATAGAAAATGCATATCAACGTATAAAAACCACATTTTATTTCCCACGTTGATATTTTTCTCCGATTATATATTGTGTAATAAATGATGAAAATGCAGATACGTAGAAGCAGATATTGAATGTTTGATGAGTCCGTTTCTCGTACTGTAAACATTCCGTTATTTCATCATGATTGACTATTGCTTAAGATTGCTTTATCTTAATTCTTTTAAAACTTAACGAAAATCATCCCGATTTCTCGTTGCCTTAAAAGACATTTGGAGCGCAATATCTAATACGGAACGGGTTTTGCTCATTGTTGAAGGCCGTATGGTGAACTTTAAGTTGCTTACTTCTATGGTGGAGAGTTGTTTCATTGCCAATCATACCACATCCTCTTATTTTTTTCTATTCTACTATCATCAGTTGGGTTAAAATTTTACTTCTGTTTTACCAGAGCGAGTGAAAAGGACAAAACTAGTGTTACGAATTTACAGTCTATGAATATTATAATATTTCTACAGTTATGTTTTCTCCGATTTCTCTCGGAATTTACCCATTTGACCTTCTTATCGTTGAAAACGCCATCGAAAAACATCCCTTTATCCTTGGTTGCTATGAGACTCGTTGTTGTTAGGGTGATATCTTCGAAGTCGGCGTTCTTAGTATAAATAGTGGGTAGCTACTCAGTAAAATTTGTCATTTGTACCGAAGACAGCAGACAGTGCACATCGGAAAGGTAGGAAAGTAAATAGTTTAAAGCAAGCAGCAGCGTTAGTTAAACAAAGTGAATTGTTTGAAACCTGCTGACAGGATATAGGATAGGCTGAGACAGTTTGTTCGGTACAAATTGTCCAATCACAGGAAACTGGTACGAACCGAGGATAAAAATATTAAAACGCCCCCGCCCAGATACACGTTACACTAGCATATAAGTTTACTGATAGTGTACAAATTGCTTAAAGACCCCGATCTACCTGCATTACGTTACAAGATCTTACAACAAACCTCTGCCTCTCAAAGAGTTTGGGTAACACGATAGTAGTCCATAGTCTCTTTTATATCCGTACTATGCTACCATAAACAGAAGTATGCCTCTGGCTCTTATTATCATTTGCAGTAGTGTAAGCAATTACGTCATGTCCCCTTTTCTAACCATTTTGAACCACTGGCATCTGTCTCTATAAACACTTACAATGTTACGTTACTACTACTTTAGTCGACTATAATCAGTTATAGATCCGATCTTACAATGTTACGTTACTACTACTTTAGTCGACTATAATCAGTTATAGATCCGATCTTACAATGTTACATTACTACTACTTTAGTCGACTATAATCAGTTATAGATCCGATCTTACAATGTTACGTTACTACTACTTTAGTCCACTATAATCAGTTATAGATCCGATCTTACAATGTTACATTACTACTACTTTAGTCGACTATAATCAGTTATAGATCCGATCTTACAATGTTACATTACTACTACTTTAGTCGACTATAATCAGTTATAGATCCGATCTTACAATGTTACGTTACTACTACTTTAGTCGACTATAATCAGTTATAGATCCGATCTTACAATGTTACGTTACTACTACTTTAGTCGACTATAATCAGTTATAGATCCGATCTTACAATGTTACATTACTACTACTTTAGTCGACTATAATCAGTTATAGATCCGATCTTACAATGTTACGTTACTACTACTTTAGTCCACTATAATCAGTTATAGATCCGATCTTACAATGTTACATTACTACTACTTTAGTCGACTATAATCAGTTATAGATCCGATCTTACAATGTTACATTACTACTACTTTAGTCGACTATAATCAGTTATAGATCCGATCTTACAATGTTACGTTACTACTACTTTAGTCGACTATAATCAGTTATAGATCCGATCTTACAATGTTACATTACTACTACTTTAGTCGACTATAATCAGTTATAGACCCCATGTTTTTTCCAGTGATAATTCTTCTTTTTTCTCGTCTATAAACACGATGGACTAATCAGCTGTTGGTCAGTGTATTTGTTTATAATACCATATTTTCAAAAATATTGTTTCTCTTTAAAATTTATAGAGCCAACTAACCAACTACAATTTCTTATACATGTTACCTTTTGCTCCTTTAAACATGTCACAAAAGAGTAGGCATAGTCCTTGTTCCACCCTCATTACATTACTATATAGCTACTAACCTCTGCCTCTTTGAACATGTCACAGTCGACCAACCAAGTACAAATCATGGTCCCCGTTCTACCTTTACCACCTTTACAATGGACAGCTATTACATTTTTGTCATCCTCAGAAAGCCACTCACGTACATTCTTACAAAACTTTATCAAATCTCTAAAAAGAATTATATATTTCAGACGTTTGCTTAAATGTTTCAATAAACTAGTAAAGCATAGTCAGAAATAAACACAAAACACCAAGACAGTAACATTGAAACTGATATCAATGCATGATATGTATGATTAAGTTAAACTATTACTACCGTATTATTCGGTGGAAAATTTTTAAAAAAAATCTTAAATCAATTTTCATATATACTAGACATATTATTTTAGTTCTTGTAATTTCACTTATGTAACCTTGAATTAATAAATAAATACATATTTTGTACATAGACCTACGTAACTATTCAGTAGATGTTTAGGTAATGTTAAATTTGATTGATAACAACACGCATTATAATGAATCGTACAAGGATACATAGAGCAAAAACTTGAAGGAGGGGTGCAGTACCAGCGGATATTTAGTTCAATCTGATTTAAGCAATGAACAAACAAAAAAGACAGAAGATACCAAGGGGAAAACCATACGTCGACGAAAAACAGACACACACCATGGCTAAAACGAACAAAAGACACACACCATGGCTAAAACGAAAAACAGACACACACCATGGCTAAAACGAAAAACACACACACACCATGGCTAAAACGAACAAAAGACGAAAATAAATAAATAGTTCACAGAACACTATACAGACAACTAAAGACTGAGCGACACAAACCCCATCAACAAATCTCAGGTAAATATCATGTTCTGTTGACGAAAAGAAATTTGATGAGATCGTATTAATGGTCAAAACGTCAATCCGCATTACTGATAAACTGTTTAAAACATTTTTTTTTTACTTATAACAGTCCCTGTGTCGTAAGAAAAACCTAATTTTTCTATATACTTACTCAAGGATTGGAACGTTATGGTCATCTATAAACAAGCGTTCTACTCTTCCGTGGAATTTATTTGGGTCGTAGTTACGTTCACCTGCAAAATAGATGATGCTGTTAGATTTGCACGAAACAATAATAGTTTCCTGGTAAGAACACAAACTTTGAATTGTTTATCAATTCGGACAGCCATTACATGTATAAGGATAATAGAGATATGACAGCATTAATTCTAATAAAAAGTCATGACGGATTTTGATTGCCTCCCCCATTTTTGCCACCTTCTTTGTTCTTTTTCAAGTTATAAAATACTGAAGCATTCGAAAAAAGCAGTTGTTGTTTTCAGTGCAGAAACTGATATAAATATACCAAAAGTAGTCGACAACCTGTTCATTTTTATTTTTGTTTTGCTTTTCAATTAGGAAATATAAATACACTTTGTTGGTTGTTATTCATACTTACTGCATAAATCATAAACTCTGTAGTGATCTTTATGTTTTGTATCTAAAAATCTGGCTACATCCTAAAATTGAAAAAACTAAATCTAATTTCAATACATTTTTATTTCTAGATCTATTTATTTATCGTTTCTGGTAAACGTAGATCATTCGCCGATTCCAATATTGTTCATTTATTGTAATGTTTTTTTTTTTATTTAAACTTAAACATCATTTAATTGTATCATTCAAATACAGACTTAAAACTAACGTAAGCCATTAAACTATAAGGTTGTTCGCTTTTACGCTTTCATTGCATATTTAATTGGAGAACCGCTAATTGGTCTAATGTAGACGAAATGGCATGTAGCGTACTAAAATATAAGCCTGGTATTTATGATAGCTATTTGCAAACTCTTGGTCGATAAAACTGCCGATTGATGTTTTGGTTCCGAAGGTTTCACACACCAAATAGTCAATTAACACTCATCATTAATGTGGTCATTTTCTATACATTTATTATTCACAGATTGTTGGTTTTCAATGTGCTAAAACTTCCTATTTGATTTTGTCTTCTAACTATTTTAATTCAAGCACTACTGATGAAATACAAAACTGGCGAACTAAATCACAAGCTGGAATCATGTTTACAAACACTGAGTAGATACAACAGCTGGTGTAAATATCCCAGAGTATCATCAGTCCAGTAGCAAACCCTCACATGCCACATAAGCATGATATATAATTGATGCGGTAATTTCTGTAAATTACACAATAAAAATGTTAAAAGCAGTCAAAACACTAAGGTGTTCTACTCTAAGGAATAGATGGCCTCAGCAAGGTTTAGAGAAATCAACGAATTCGTAAATGATTTGGCCTTCCTTTCCAACTACTTTAATTTGAGCGCCACTTATGAATCTTAGTTATATGAAACGCGCTTCTGGTTTACTAAATTGTAAGCCTGACAAATAGTTTTGTCAATAAGTTTTGACGTGAGTAAACTATGTGAAAGCTTATGTTATGGATTGTTCTTGACTTATCATTTTTAAAATTTGTTGCATATGACAAAACTAACTTTTAGTTTTGTTAGAGTTTTTTATATGTGTATTTGTTAATAGTTTTCGTCTGTTTTTGTTGGTCAGGGCCCCTGTCTTGTTCCTTATGACTTATACTATTTACTGTAACATATACACAATACAACTTCACAAAAAATATTTCTGTCTCTGGTATCCAAAATAGAAATATATCAATAACCTGAAACAAATGTGTAATACATGTATGATATTTATCCCTTTTGGTATCTTTTTGATATCCCTTTGGTGGTATCTTTCTGAAATCCCTTTGGTATCTTTTTGATGTCCCTTTGGTATCTTTTTGCTATCCCTTTGGCTTCTTTTTGATATCCCTTTGGTATCTCTTTGATATCCCTTTGGTATCTCTTTGCTATCCCTTTAGTATCTTTTTGATATCCCTTTGGTATCTGTTTGATATCCCTCTGGTATCTTTCTGATATTCCTTTGGTATTTGTTTGTTGATATCCCTTTGCTATCTTTCTGATATCCCCTTGGAATCTTACGCCTCTCTTTTAAATATAATTCTTATAGCTTCAGAATAATGTAAATAAATTTTATTATAACAACATTTTATTCCAACATGAATTTAGTCAGGCGTCTTATACTTGCTTAAGAAGACATATAAAGCACTTGTTTCAGGGATACTCAATTAAATATACCAACCTCAATAGGATTTCTGTATAGTTTCCTTACACCGGATGACGGGAATGACATAGCAATTACTCTTTCTGTAAGATAATGATATATTTGTAAACTATATATATACCTCTTCTTTACATTTCTTACTACGAAGTGGAAACTTGAAAAGCCTAAACGTTTTTTTTTTCTACAACTTCGTCGCTACTTCTTATAATAGACGTTCATTTCCAGAGGGTACCTGCAAACTAGTAACCAGCGCGCCAGCATTGGTACACTGCAGTTGTTTTCCATTCGGTCGATGTGTTTGAGCTTTTGAATTTTCCTTGGAGTTCACTTTTTTTGTTATTTGACTTTTTCCTCGTGCAAAATTGACAACAAGACGGTTTTGAATATGTCTTGTTTACTCCTTTTGAATTGATATAGTCATTAAAGAATATATTCTTCAGTTGCCTCTGCATTTGTTCTCAAGCGTACCTGATTAAGGTGGTTCCACAAACACGTGTCCTGTACAAAGAAATCTGTACCATACGCGTTTTCATTTTCACATTTCAATATGTACAGGATGATCGAATGTAATTTCCATATAGATACTACATGCATAACATGAATAAGAGAAGCATAAATCCTTTTAAATTTACTGGTCTATTTAATCTGTCGCATTCATTTTCAATCAGCATAAAGCTGTTTCTTTAAAAAAAAATAAAGACGTTCATGAATGTTTAAGGTAGCTGGGGTGTCTTCCTTCATCTTGGATTTTGAAATAGCAGATAACAATCGGTCTAGATCTTTAATCAAATGTGCAAATTTAGAGAGTAGTATGTAATTCATATGTAAGACGTTTCATATGAATATAGAAAAATTTGTGTTTCATCATATTTACGGCTGTATTTTACAGAAAACAGAATATTTTTATTTGATTCATTTTTTTTTTCAACTTTGCCACATAAGGGGAGATAACTCAGATATAAAGGGAGATAACTCAGATAAAGCAACTTTCATTATAGAATGTGTTGTGAATTTACTTATTTTATTATGTAGCAAAAAAACGAGTCCGGTGACCTCATTTTTTCTTTTTCTTATCTGAAAGCATATTATTAGAGCTAGTATCTTCTCTTATTTTATCTTAAATTCTATGGTGTAGTTTTCTTTCACACTAAATTGGGTTTTCCATGCATAATCTATACAAAATCTGACAATTTTGCACCACCTGTAGCGTGAAAAAAAGCCCGGTGACCCACACTTTTCTTTATTTTTCAAAAAAAAAGCATGATATAAACTACACTTTGACAAATTATTGAAAACTTCTATGGATTTTAATTAACCACCCCATCTACCTTAATCTACAAAGTAATTGATTTTCATTTTTTCCAATTAATATTTCTGTACCTGTAACGTAACAGAGATCCAGATCGAATCCGTCTTTCTGGTACCTCCTTTTATTTTGGGATACAGTTTGTCTAGCAGCTTTCGTAAAGTGACGATACTGTTGGACCATGATGTATATAGACCGGAATATTCTAACAATTCTTAACCCTCGTCCAATTACTGGAAGTCTAGAAAGAAATTGAGGGACGATCAATGGCGTAATTATACTAGTGTAAACAATCTAACTTTGTTTTCAATCTTACTAAGTGTAAAGTGCTATATAAATAAAAGAGGATGTGTGGTTTATGTTTACGAAAAGACAACTGAATTAACCAATAAAGACGTCTAAATGTCATTGTATGTTTAGTTTATGCATTCTACTAAGTTTAAGGTTTGATAGAAATAATGGAAGCAGAGTTATCAGGAGAATCGATCAGATTTTCATGTAACAACACATTCTATCTTCATGCACAATTGTTGTAATTTTCATTTAACATTTATGCCAATCATATAACAATTAAATTTGAGTCCGGTGTAATGTGTATATATTTTATTTTACATTTTCTTTTGTATCCGTACGATTCTACAAATCAAGAAATCGGTGGACTTTATATTCGATCAGCATTTTCGTGTTCAAAGACATTTAAAGAACTAAAGTTCAAAGGCTGATGCAACTAAATACTTGGCTACTTTTTATCAATGTATTTATTATAAGACTTTGATAGTAGAACAATAACACGAAATGTATCGCCTCGAAGTCATGAAGAAAGAGTCAACATGAAAGTTAGTTGGTTTACTATATTAAAGCATGCATGTTCGTCAACTTTTTCCAGCAACCTGGCCACAAAATGAAATCATGAACAATTGATAACATGCCGTTAAAGAAGACGTTTCCTAATGTACCGCTTATCAGGTAATCTGCATCTTGATACATTAACTGTGAAATATCAACTGTTAGCCACTTTATGAAGCATTTGATCGAAGAAGAGAAGCGACTGAGTTAAAAATAAATAAAGAATCATCATATGATGTCGAGCAGTTGGTAGTTTACAAAATCTTTAGTTTCAAAATAGGATAATCAATTTATTCGAATTGTACTTGGGTACTTTTTTCATAATAAAAACAATCGTTTTTCTCTGCCTCACCAGCGAACTGAAAGAGGACTTCATGTCAAACTAATCTGTTTGATTAATTTTTTAAAGACTATGTACAACTATATGAATACCTGGAGTAGTCGTTCGTAGACACACCAACTACAAAAGTTGCTACATCAAAGATAAATGTGGCAAACACTATAATCATATCTAAAACGTCCATCACACTCTTAAAAAATCGTTTTCTACAATGAAATAATACTTAATTACTAACTGTCTTCGTATAATACTAAATCAAAAACAGTAAAACAAAGAGCGTTACAAAAATCCGTTTAATAAAAATTGAAAGTTGAGAAAGCTTAAATTCAATTCGAGTAGGTACCAATACGTTATTTCCTGCCAATTTATCTAACATGTATCTCTTTCCAAAGATCGTCTATAAGAACTCTAGAAATTGTCCGAGGAAAACTTTTTAATCTTATTTTTACTATAGCACCATAATAAGATTTATATAAAGTGCAGTAGCTGTTTTTCAGGGACGAAACACGTTTATATGCTAATGGGCGTGGTACTTTGTTTGGGGGCAATATCAACAAGGTGACCTATGCAATTACGTTGTGTATGTCATAGTAACGACCCCAAACTGATGGAGCGTTGTATACCAATATACAACAGCCAAGGCTCCGTGTTGAAGGTCGTACTTTGACATATAATTGTTTACTTTTTACAAATTGTGACTTGGATGGAGAGTTGTCTCATTGGCACTCATACCACATTTTCTTATATCTATTGACATATCAACTGCACTAAATATGTCTATGTTTTTTCAAAGCGTAACTACACGTTAGTGAATTCAAATAAAACAGATTACAAACAGAGTCAAAAAGTTAACATGTTTATTGTCACATATGTGTTTAATTGCAGTACCGAAATTCACTACCAAAATGAAACATACTGAAAAATCGAACCATTATGTTATGACCCACTGCTTATATACTTAGTTTCAAATAACATGGACGAAAAAGATAAATATTGAACTTTTCTGCTTCAACAGTTTTAGTACATCGCCTATATTTTCATACTATCACAGAGGTAATTTATCGCATGCAAAATTGATTTTTGTACTTTTCTCTCCTAGTTTACTATTCTGTAAGCTTACATTTCTTCGTTAACGTTAGTTTGATATCCGTAGTTTGCTGCTTATTGGTCATGAATATTTCATTAGCTTAAATTATGAATGGTTATTAAATACTGCTCTTATTGCCAACACAATGTGTTTGTTTAGTGTTCTGAGAAGAATCAATGTGATCAAACCTTGAAATATTACCAACATTTCCCAAAAATGTTTTACGGTTGCTTTAAGAGAATATTGTATTGTTTTCGTATTATAACATTAGCTTACACTCGTGGTGCCAACGTAAACATGTATGTGTTCCTCATAACAGAAGTTCTCTGGAAACTTTTTTTTTATCAACAATGCATTAATGTATGTTCCTATTGAAACCAATATGTTTTACCCTTTATTCCGCGAGGAACAAGTACAGTGATATTTATTCCAGTGGAAATTATTCTCGTCCCGAATATGCATGAAATATTTGCCACTAGACGTTAAGCAACCAACAATCAATCAATCAATCCAGTGGAAATAATATTCCAGAATATTACTGCGTTTTTGAACTAATATTATAGGGAACTTTATTTAAATAAAAATAGATCAGCCGAAACGTGCAATTTGTTCAACTTACCCTTTGACAAATATTCGAACGCCTATTTCCAGGACGAAGTAAGAAATGATTGCCCTTGAAACTAATTCTATTCTATAAGATGTTTCATCGTCTTCACTGAAGACAGTAACTTCCACGATAACTAAAGTGATATCGGTTAGAATCAGGACAACTGTAAATATCCGGAATGCAATATGTTCAATTACACCTTTCGCAGACTGTCTTATAATCCTGTAAATAATGAATATATATAAAACATATGTACTGATAATCTTTTAATTCAAATGGAAAATACACATTCTTGTTTTGTTCTTTAAACGAATAGTTTATATATTCTAACATATAACAAAGCCTTCCATACATGTGATTTGTGGGAGATAATTTAAACTTGCAGCATTACTGAATATCTTGCTTTGACTTTGGAATATTAGTTGAAATGTTTGTTTTGATAATTTCAGATTATATGCTGATGTTTTTCATTATATTTCCATATAAAACCAGTTTTTTTCAATGATTATAAAACAAACGAAAGAAGCCAAAAGTAGGGCACAAAATCTGAAATATTTAATCATCTCAAATCATCACTAAAAGTTCGAAAAGTCGGACATGTATGAATTATTCTGGACTCTTTTGACAATTATGTGACTGGATTCAAATGACTGGAAGTTAATGCATAGCAGGGGGAACCTGGGTTTAATTCGTTTAGGTTTTAATCGATCAGATTGAACTCACATAAATGTTATTCTGTTTATACCATCTTTACATGTATATACGTATGATATCAAAGAGAACACATGGGAAACTAAACGGACAAAAAAATGATGGAATTTTAAATTATGCTTGTTTTAAAAACACCTGCTTGGTATCGGTTTTGCATTTTTTTTAGTATAGCCGACATACAAACGTCTTTAAACAGTCATCTTGAATCTGAATACATTAAACAGAATTCAGATCAAATATTGTTCCTACCCAAGTCTTGATTCAGGTTGTTTTTCTTTCCCATGGAATTCATCGTCTATAATAACATCCTGAAACATTTGTTCGTTTTCGTCTTCAATATCCTTTCCATCGTTTATAACAACATCAACTAATTCTGTTTCATCGATTTTAGAAAACCCATTCTTGAGGTGTTTGTTTTCTTTTTCTCTATTGTTTATAGCTGCTTTATCTTCTGAATTATCGGTGTCCTTGACTGTGGAATCTGTGTTGTTGCTTTCATCCATGACAATATCTTTGTCTGAAAACAGAGTAAAGCCTTGTAATGGGTAAACTAATTGTGTGGGTTTTTCTTGTAATAAAAGTCATACCAGTAGTAACTCATTTGCAATTTATATATCAATTTCAATCACGATATAGATTTTAGAGTGAAGCTTGTTGTCTAATAATAAAAAAATAAAAATTCTTATTTTACGGAGATTTATCATTGACTGTATAATTCATTGGGAACAATTAATGACTGAACTAGCAATTGATTTTTCAAAAAAAAAATCCAATTGCATTAATACGGTAAAACGTATGAAATTAAATCCCAAACAAAATGCACACAACACTTACAACCTTTCGTCTTACAGATAACGTATGAGGACAACTCGACAGTTTTACTAAAATGACTTTTTGCGTAAAACAAACTATTCGATTCAATTATTGTTAACACTTTGTAGTCATCATTCTATTCATAGCACGATCGCCATCACGCTTTAAAAGACAAACATCAAAATGTAATTATTGAATCTCAGTGAACAATGTCTACGTTATGTCATAGATACACAAAATCTACTTGACTTAAGCTAGCGAACAATTGTAGCGAACAATTAGCTAGCGAACACTGATAGGAAGCATAACTAAAAACCACAATATCACATAAAACAATCACGTTTTTTTTCGGGCTAGCGAACAATTATGAGAATACATACAATCTTAAAAAAAACGACAAAGTTTTCTTAAAACAAAAGGGAACCCATACTTCATATATAAAGAATACAAAGCTTTTCTTTCCGAAGTAAATAAGTCCATATAAAGCATTCAATTGACAGCTAAAATCATAAGGTAGCACATTGACACAATGCGATTGAGGGGAAAGGGTGTGCACTTTACGTTAATTTTGGTCCAATTTATAGAGATTGTTACGGGTAACGACAATAAAGATGTTGTAGAGAAGACATTGGACGCTAAATGCATGGCATTGCGTCTCAGTGGGTAACGCCGTAATTTGACGCTTACAGACAATAATACTTTTTCAACGGTAAAGTTGTTTGTCCAATATTGATACTTCTAAGTGTGTGAGTAGGATAATATGAAATGTAATATAATTCAGTGACTTTCCATTTTTTTTTTTCTGAAAAGAAGGAAATTTTTGAATTTTTGAATTAAATGAAGCAGTGGAGATTTGTTTGCAAGTGAATAGAGACCTATTTTAAAGTTTAACACGTTCAAATAATCAACATTTCAGCAATTTCAATAACTGGTAAATTAAAATCTGAAAGATAAGAATTGTGGGAAAAAATAATTGTATTCATCTATTATATAATTACAGACTAATATAATATCAAAATCAAACTCTTCGGGTACAACAGTTGTGTTGTCACTATCAAGATCCGCACATACATGTCTGAAAACAGAGTTAAGTCTTGTAATGGGTAAACTAATTGTGTGGGTTTATCCTCTAACAATCGTCATACCAGTAGTAACTCATTTGCAATTTATATATTAATTTCAATCACGAAATAGATTTTAGAGTGAAGCTGGTTTTCTAACAACAAAAAAAACAAAAATTCTTTTTATAACGGAGATTTATCATTGACTGTATAATTCATTGGGGACAATTAATGAATGAACTAGCAATTGATTTTTCAAAAAGAAAATCCAATTGCATTACAGAAAAATGTATGATATTAATTTTTTTTAAATGCACACAACACTTGCAACCTTTAGTCCTACAGATAACGTATGAGGACGACTCTACAGTTTTACTAAAATGACTTTTGAGTAAAACAAACTATTAGATTCAATTATCGTTAAAATTTTATAGTCATCATTCTATTCATTACACGATCATCATCACGGTTAAAACATCAAAATGTAATTATTGAATCTCTGTGAGCAATGTCTACATTATATCATAGATGAACAAAATCTATCGAAAAATTAATTGATTACTTTATAATCTAATCCAAATGTATAAATATCCACACTATATGTAACTTTAGTGTTTAGACTTCTCTACGCAAACTGTAAGCATTATTATAATGGGACAACCAGAATCCCAAGTCTAAGAAAATAGCATGGTAAATCAAGACACAGAAACCAAAACAGTCCGCATAACATTACACAGACAAATACATCTGAACAACATGACTCTAATAGAAATCTGTATTTAATACATGTGTTCCTAGCTGTTCATTAATGACACCTGTCAGTACGATATCCAATGAATCAGTTCATCTAGCAGCAGAGTACCAAAATAATTAAGGTTAGACAATTGTGAAATTCGTATGATGCTCTGAGCAGATTTATACACGATTACATAAAAAAAAATGAACACTAAAGCTGTCGTAATAAGAACTTAAACAAAACATAAAATGATTCAAACAATTTCAATTTTGATAAAGAGTTAGGCCCAAACATTTCCTTTTATTTTGTTTTATTCACAGATACAACATCGATAAATTGATAAACCTAATAAAATTCGATTGTTAGGAATACATAGGAATCACCAAAAATACTGGGTAATACAAAAAACCACAGAAACCAACAACTCCCGACTCCTCGCAAAAAAGAATCAGATGTCCAAACAAAGACAAACACATACGAACACCGCATGGTCCAGATAACTTGACTTGGTACAAACAAAAAGAGTTTCTTAGGTATATTTGACACAGTTTTCATAATTTTACATTTATCCGTAAAACACATTGTTATGCAGTGCTCTCTTATACGTTTGAATAAAATTGAGAATGGAAATGGGGAATATGTCAAAGAGACAACAACCCGACCAAAGTGAGATAACAGCCGAAGGCCACCAATGGGAAGAATATGTTCATACAACTTTGCAAATTTTACATGGTTTTTGTAAAATTGTGCATTGCAGTGTATCTTTAATCAAAATGAACATTTAGAATGGGAAACAATGGTGTATATATTATGACGTTTTGTGCTTTGAATTAGCTTTCGGCAACTTCAGTAACTTCGAGTACCCTTAGATCGATACATTGTTTCCTTTGTCTCTCAGTTAGTTGTTGTTAATTTATTTATTTTTTTGTGAGTCGTACTGAGGAGTCAATTCCTTTTTAGATGCTTTTTTCAGCTCGTTCTTCTGCTATAATGTTACATCGTTTTCCAAAAATTGGAGGAGAGGGTTGAACGCTAACAAACATGTTTGACTCCGCTACATTCTATATGTGCCTGTCCCAAGTCAAGAGTCTATTCTCCAGTGGTTGTTCTTGCTTTCTGTTTGCAATATTTGTTTTTCGTTGTTGCTTTTAACAAAATTCAGGCCGTTGGTTTCATCTTTTGAATCCTTTCACGTTATGTAATGCAGGGGACGTTTATAGCTTACTATACAGAATGGGATCTGCTCATTGTTGAAGGAAATACGATTACCTGAAATTGTTTATAACCTTGCCCTCAAGCGTCTGTTGAAGAATTGTCTTGTTGAAATCATCCACATCTATTCAAGTGTTCAGGCATACAATTTGAAATTTCTGTTCATACAATTCAACTTTGTAATGGTTTTACTTTTTGTTGATAAGCTGATCCCATTACTTGTTGTTATGTGGATTTGATAGTTTACAGCTTTTTTGCGAAAAGCGCTGCAATGACATGAGAACTTCCTATTTTATTTTTAAACTGTTAATCGTTGAAAGCATTGCCGTTTATGCATTTGAATATCGGTATTACATTTATCATTTATCAAGTTTTCCTGCTACGTCAAAACGTACTAGTTGAACCATAAATCCTAAAATAAATCATTTTATCGATTAAGTCAACATGGTATACTTTCTCGGGGGAAGACAGTCTTGCTTTCAATGAATATAAAATCTGATCAGAACTACGCAATTTTATAACTTTGTTTTGGTTTGCATCTTATTCTAGAACAAAAATAAGGAGTTAAGCAAGATTGACAATGAGACAATTATCCAACCGAAAACCATAGGTCACCATACGGCCTTCAACAATGAAAAAAAAACATACTGTATTGAAATTACATTAAAATTTGAAGTGTCAATTAAGAATGTTGAATTTGCTAAAACTAATAAACGAAAAAACAAACCTGGCTGACAGCAACTCAGCACAGCCGCTGAATTACAAGCGGCTCCTGGTTTGGGACAGACACTTTATGGCGGAGTTTAACCTTTTTGTGAGCGCTAAACACTCTCCTTAAACTGGAGCAGTGGTGAAGATAAAACTCTAAAAATCAATGAGCGTACATGGCATATAAAATTATATTAAGCTTGGTATCGTTGATCATTTTTTTTTAATGCTCATCAAATCGTAGGCTGGTCCTCTCCCTTGCAACAGATACCTTTGTTGTCAGAGCCAAACAGATAAAGGACAGAGAACCAGTCTAATCAAATCGGCACGAAGCATAACACAAAACAAATAAAAAACACGAACATTACAAAGCACCGATTCCAGAGTAATCGCAGTTACAGAAAGTAAACTAATTTCGATAAAGGTAATTAAGAGGAACAATTACACGCGTCGTAAGTAGAGATTGTTGTCATCTTCTCTTAAAGAATGTTTCAAGAATTGTAAATATTTTTTCAATCAAGGTTGTGCTAATTCAAAAAGTTTGCAAACTCAAAGAATGTGGCGGGGTTAAACATGCTTGCAATTAGGGGCTCTCAACCCTCTCCAAACCTATGACAGTGGTTTAACAGCACAGCATAAGAACAAACTGTAAAATTCAGTTGCTCAAAATATTGGTACGTGGCACAAAAACAACTAATATAAAAACAATAGACACGAAGCACCGAAATAAGAGTACTCGCAGTTTCTGAAAGCTAGTTCAAAGCCAATAACAACTAATTAATACCTCATATTCTCCCAGACTAACGTCTTCATATCTAATATAAATGAGAACCAAAAATCTTGTGAGCACATGGAAGGGGCAAAGTTGTGTCTCCTCAATCGTTTTCTTTACTATTTAAAAAAGAAAGTAATTTTCTGTTTTTTTCATACTAAAGCATTACAGAATAAATTATGTTTTATGATTCCTTCGATGTCGATTGTCTTATTTGGCAGAGAAAATCAAAGTACTGAAGTACTGAACATCGGATGAACGCAAGTTCTGGTTGATAGTTACAGGCACTTGTCTCAGAAAAAATAAAATATCTCTATACCTGAAAGTTAGGTTAAGGTACATAGATTTATTTTTTTGTGAGACAAGTTCCTGTGTGGATGATGAATAAATGACAGAGAATTCAACCTCACCGTAATAATTATTATATTGTAGTGATATAATCATGGGACAATCATTTGTTATCAGTATAATCTGGTTTGTTGTTATATATTATATTAATATTTGTACAACAGTTATATATATAGCAGATCATCTTAATAACTCTACCGGCAATTTTTCATCCATTTATACCATCATTCTATTCTACTTTTCTAATGATAGTGCAGTGCAAGTGCATGGTGGACACTCTTCTGTAATAATTCTTTTTTCTAATTTGTTTGATTTGAGTAGGCATTCATATTTCTCCCGCTAATGAATATGTATTCATGAAATTAATATATAACAAGCGTTAAGAGATATTCATCCGCAAACACAATTGAGGTACAAGTGTCTCTGTATTATGTAACCTATGGAAGAATTTTACAAATTATATTTGTTTTAAATATGCATCTAATTTGGTAAAGTTTTTTTCACTTTGTGTGAATTTAAGGAAGATGCGAGGACATGTCAATGAGACAACAACCCAACAACACAAACAATTATTTGACATCTATTGTAGATCAACAAACGGCCAATGTTTCCTTTCTTTCGAATATATATATTATATACAATTTATATTCAATACAATAGATCCGATATCTAGATTTGTTAGTTACCATAAACAATGCCGATAATTTCATTCAATGAGTAGAAATATCCTCACTGTAAATCGTAGAGGCGCCAAAATAAGACAGCTTAACAATAACAAATCATATATCAAGTCATTTACAATATATATGGGACTTGTCGATGGTAACCTATGTGTTAAAAGATAATTGGAATGTAGCAATGCGTTCTCGTTTTCAAAATGGTACTGATAAGTAGCAGCATTGATCATTTATTATCAACCTCATTTGTGGTGTCTTAAATTTGCAATCATTTATGATTTAAATGAAAAGGAAAAATAATTGCTGACGCTTTCAATGATTGTAGTGAACAATACACGGACTAATTATTTACAATCCGTTCTATACAATACCATACAGGGATAAAATAGACGGGACACTGATACTTCTCACAATCACTGTTCCTTTATTTTACTGATATTAAAGGATGTAGTCAGAGATAATGTACATGAGACAGCATCTCACAGATAGAAAGGTGAAATAAACGTTCATTATAGAATCAACCCTTTTGATGCCATTCTTCAGTTTTATATCTTCAATGATAAGGTTTCGTGGGTTTTTTATTTGCATCGTTGGGTGGTTGCTGTCTCATTGTTGAATACCCACCATTTTTTTAAATTACAATTACAGACTCAATTGATTTTCTTCGTAATTCACTAATTGATATCCGGTGCACATAGCTTGGAATGTAAAAAGACGGAAGCTACTTTTAAATATATTACAACTTTCCTATATGACTTCTATGTCGTTATAAAGAATTCGATTATATTTCTAACCAATGCTGCCGAATGACGCTGGAAATCAAATATTGTAACAGAACACGAAGCGGCTGCCAAATATACATGCAGTTAGCCTTTTTTGATAGTTAATATATATAACACGTTTTACAACTGCAATGTTATTGTCACGTGATTTGATAAAATAAAAGGTTACAGCGTTCTTTCTTCTCTACTTCAAACAATATGTAAATTTAAATCTAGAACAAATACTGAACAATTTAAATATATTATGCATTGCAAGGAATGTGAGAAAAGTCAGATGTAGCAAAATAAACTAACTAACTAACTAATTTTATTCAGTATAAAATCCAGTATAAACGGATCATCGCTGAACTACATATAGCAAAATATGTTATACTTACCGATAAAAGATAAAGGTCAATCTTTATATTATACTTCCAATGCACTGTCCAGTTCGTTGTTACAGCAAAATATTACACGATGAAGCATTCTATCGTTATGCAACTGTCAATACTAACCCATCTATTATGAACTTTAACTACATCTCGTACAGCGAAAACTGTTAAAATGTTGACGTCTCTAATTGAATAAGGAATCATATATTAAGCTAGTTTATATTTCACAGATCGATAGCATCTATAACATCCATTGGGAAATGCAGGATCGTGTATCAGCAATCCACATCATCTGTTTAATATGGAAATAAACAAATTCAGTAATCAATGTATTTTATTTCTCCGAGAAGAATAACTCGGAGATTACAATGTATATAGACGTAAACAATCCAATACAGTGATACTTTGAGTATCGATCGTCATAGCAGTGCTATAGATTTAACCAGTTTGAAAATGTAAATAATTAACGGAATTTAAGGCATCAATTTCGTCTGTTTTTAATAGAACCATAAACTTGTCTTTGTGTTATTCCAGATAACTACCGTTGAAGTTGTAAATGAACACTTTTGTATGGAATCAATTGATTAATCTGCTACTGAAATGTTGCATGTAATGACTTGATATGGTACTTACCAACTTATTACTTGAAGCAATAAACTGGCATCAATCATGGTGGTTATTATTTTAAAGAAAACAACGGACAGGTAGAAGCATTTCTGTTAGCCACCAATACGTGTATTTCCTCTAATTCAAGGGGAACCGTTACAGTTTCTTAATGCCAGAGACACCCAACACACTATGTAATATATATGTCTCTGTTTAAAATAACTAATTTTGAAACCTTTCTTTATCAAATTTGTATTCATATTTTGTTTTGATGTATGGTCTACTTTATTGGAAAACAATATAATACTATTGAATCTATCGATGCCTGTTTGACTCCACGTTTAGATTATAAATATAGCTACATTGTTACAGTAGTTGTAGTCAATAAGTATTCTCGGTAGGTATAGTATATTGTATAGTATATTGTATAGTACTACATTGAGAATTTAATTTTAGAATTCTGATTGTAGTTAAATTGAATTACTATTGACAAAAACAGTTGACCGTAAAATTCTTTCTTCGTATTCATCAATATTTTGCAATTGAAGAGAATTACGGAAATAATGTCTTTCTGGCGACAGTGATAACGTAAGCGGTAATAAACTTAGAGGAAACAATAGAATCAAAAACAATTTTTAGTTAGAAAAATCTCTCCTATTGAATTAAGATGAAACAGGTCTATACTGACAAGAGTGTCAATCATTTGTTCAGTTCTGGAAGTGATATGTGAACCATAACGGCGCCTTCAAATACAATAGCGTTTGGTTGAAGTGGTAAAGTTGGAACCTAAACTCATTTCTAAAAAAATCTATCATTAGTAGCCAATAAAAAAATGTTCTGCCGTTACTCGAACGATACATAACCAATATTGCTATGTTTGAACAAGAAAAATAATGTATCATTTTACAAAGAAAGGATATTATAATATGATAGATTAATATATCTAACTACAAAAAAATATATATTCTTGAAATAAATTCATTATAAATGAATTCAGCGTTTAACTTGTGTTTCATTATTAAATCGATAATACTGTTTTATGTGATTAATTTGATAATCATCAAATCGTCATCCGAAACAGATGAATCAATATTGTGTTGTTAAATGTCCAACTTGCTTCTGGATTTAAAAAAAAAAACGGAAACAGTTTAACCGCTCTGAGACATAAAACTATTGCTTTCATTACGTGAACACTTTTTTGTGTGAAAGGCAACATTATGAAATCAATAATACGCACCTACGAAAAGTCGCATTTAACGGTTCTTACCTATTTTATTTCATTAAATAAAGTGGCTTATGATGGCTATTAAAATGCTATTTATCTCAAAACTCCTCTTATTCATTTTAAATGTTTTGACTTCATCAACCATACCTTTTTTTGCAACCACTCTTTATTCTGTGTATTTGGTGTTCATGTTTTTATTTTTCAATTACTGTAAAAATATAATTAAAAATGCGTGCATTTATTATTGCAGATCTTTTGCAACCGATAGTATTCTACAATAAATAAATCCATTCCTACACGTAGACTATTACAAGCATACACTAAATCGCATGATTTAACTACTGCAATTTTCATCCTGTCGCAATATTACATGCACTTTTTTATTTAGAATCTCTGAAGTTTCTACACCTTTAGCATTAGTTTTCAGTGAATTGTATTGTGTTGCTTATAATAATTTGTTTTCAATGTCTGTGTTGTTGCTGTCGGTCGGTAACAGTAATTTAGTGGTTGCCGTTTGTTGCTGTGTTACATATCTGTTTTTCGTTCATTATTTTGTACATAAACTAGGCCGTTAGTTTTCTCGTTTGAATTGTTTTACATCTGTCTTTTCTGGGCCTTTAATAGCTGATTACGCGGTATGGGCTTTTTTCATTGTTGAAGGCCGTACGGTGACCTATAGTTGTTATTTTCTGTATCATTTGGTCTTTTGTGGAGAGTTGTCTCATTGGCAATCATACCACATCTTCTTTTTTATATATAATGTCTATCCTTTGTCGCAAATAGCTAGTTATCATTTTAAACTTTCACATCCGATTATGTTTTACAGTGAGATAATTTGAATGAGATAAGATATGTTTACCAATCCGCTATTGTATGGTGAATAATCATCTAAAAGGACTCATCCACGTATTTAATAGGGTAAGTGCCACTAGTGGAGCTGAAACCGGATTATCTAAAAAGTAAAATAACAAAAATACCGAACTCCGAGGAAAATTCAAAACGGAAAGTCCCTAATCAAATGGCAATATCAAAAGCTCAAACACATCAAATGAATGGATAACGACTGTCAAATTCCTGACTTGGTACAGGCCTTTTCTTATGTAGAAAATGGTGGATTAAACCTGGTTTTATAGCTAGCTAAACCTGTCACTTGCATGACAGTCGCATAAAATTCCATTATATTGACAACAATGTGTGAACAAAACAAACAGACATAATAGGTAAAAATGTCAAAAATAGGGGTACAGCAGTTAACATTCTTAATCTTAATTAAAGTTACCCATCGTTTTGGGGTGAATTCTTTCTAATCAAGCAATGATTTTGTATGTGGTGTTTTGCTGACTGTTGTTTTTCTGAGTGTCTTATTTCTATTATCGTTTGGACACGTTGTGCTGTATGCGTTTCTTCGAGTTTACTTGGCCCTATGAAATGATCCCTTATTTTTCTATTAAGTTGAGTTCTGCTCCATCTAACGAGTAACATAGTATTGTTAAATGGTTTTACCAAAATGTATCTTATCATGAATTGGGCATTTGCAATGAGTGGGTGTCACTAGTGTAGCAGGAACTGCTTTCCCGAGCACCTTAGATCAACCCCGAATTTTGAGGCCCCTCATGGGGGTCTCCAAGTAATCATATAATCACAATTGTTTTGCCAGTATAATCACACAATCATTTTTTTTTTAATTACGATAATCAAATAATCAGAAATACAGTCCTAGATTATCAAATAATCATGAAATACTTGGTCTGGTAAACAAATAATCACTATAAAAAAGGCAAAGTAATCACATAATCAAAGACCTCATGAGGAGGCTTATTTTGTTGGGTTCGTATTAATCAATTTTTAATTTTCTGTAAATGTTTTGTGGGCTGGTGTGTTTTTCTTTTCGTCTTATCTTGTCCTTGTGGGCCTTTGTATGTCTGTTTTATTAGACTGATGATTTTGTATTGCCCCCTTGCTATAGGTTACCTTTAAAGACGATCTTTAAACAAGCATACTAGGTGTATCGGATATTGCATTAATTAATATTACTACCGGGCAAGTTATTTCGGTTTCAATTAAACGGACATTACAATGCATCAGTTCTTACATTTAAACAAAAGTCCGGCATCCTTTAAATTAGAAGTATTATCTGTATCGGAGAACATTTCTATAAAGGTCAACAATCAATATTATATAAGTGTCCTTTTCCATTTCCCCTTTAATTTAGTTACGAACAGACAGAAAATTGTTTATTAGAATGTAATTCAGGCCTTAGTTTATGTTGACGTATTAACCTTTTCTGGCTATACTTCAAGAGGGGCAAAAGATACCAAAGGGATATTCAAACCCATAAGTCGTAAAACAAACTGACTATTCCATGGCAAAATTAAAAAAAAAACATCAAAAGACAATAAGTATACAAAGCACACCATCGAAAAATAAAGACTGAGCAACACGAACTCAACTTAAAACCGGGGGTGATATCAGCTGCTCCGGAAGGGTAGGCATATCCTGCTCCACATGTGGCACCCGTAAGAGTGATTAAAGTTTTGTTTCGTGTAAACTTGATGCATTTAATATCTAAGTCTATTTTTGGATTAATTATAAATATAAATATACACCCAATCAACATAAGATATATTAGTAATAAACTTGACAGAATATCTATATTAGTGACACTGTATTGGAATTATAAGTCTGTGTTTAATCTATAATATTTGTACTTCTTTATACATGTAATACACAAGTTCAATAGGATAATATATCATAGCATTCAAATAAAGGCAGCTGCAAAAAAAGCAACATTATGACGGGAAATCTATGGGAATTGTGACATGCATTTATAATTGTACGATTATGAAAACAAATATTGATAAAATTGAGAATGGAAATGGGGAATGTGTCAAAGAGACAACAACCCGACCATAGAGCAGACAACAGCCGAAGGGACACATTTATAGTCAGTAAATATAAAAGAGGTCGAGTTTGACTGAACTGGTGGCTTTACAAGTTAGCATAAAACATTTGGTGACAGAGACTCATTAAACAAAAACAAAATATCATGCATCATGTTACAGTCGACCATTTACGTGTACATGTATGAAATGTTAATCCACAGAAAAACGGCAATGTCGTTGTTTGATTGTTGTATAAGCTGCATGGTTAATCAAAGATAATGCAGCAATCCATTGAAACAGATTAAAAAAAAATATGTTCTATATAAAGTTAGAATTCAAAGAATATGTTCATGTAACTTTAAGAGCAACAGTGTTTGTAAAATCAAAGTCAAAGAGCCGCACCTGAAACATAACAAATATGAGATATCGACGACGTCAATCTTGCAGGTTCCTACACTAAATCATAATGATATATCAAATCTGGCAAACCTAATAAATTGCATGAATATAAATCCAATTAAACCGATGCTACATGAATTGATGGATGATGTCCTTCTAGTAATATTTAAATAAAACCAAACAAGTCAAGGCTGCAGAAGTTAGACAGCGTTTTTGGCAGAGGTTTTAGCTCACTAAATATTTGCATGCATAAACATATTTTGCCAAA